AAATATAACATAATTAATCTTTTTATTAATGCATGTAAAAACTTGTGTTTTATAAAAGATGCATGACATTTAATTACAGTAAGAGAGCAGACATTCTTTTATTTATCATATACTTAATGTAAACATTTTACTAAGACAAATGAGAACAATGTAATGTTCTTTAAGACAAAATATGGGGTTTTAACTTTTTTATGAGCAAGAAAATCACTTTGCAGCTTTAAACTTAAATCCACTTGCCACGGTAATGATTTTTTAAACCTTTTTTAACTACAGTAATTCTCCATACAGTAAATATTAAGTTTTAAAGTAAGATCATCCCAATTATATTTGAAACATAGCTGAATTTATMTTTGACTGGATCAATGACAGATGTGTCATAATTTCTGAATCTTCAGATGGAGGTATTTCCCAGCAGTTTTGTAAATCCACTGAACATTTTGCTTTCAGCACGCCTCGGGAAAGTGATTCAGATCTTACCTTGGCTTCTTATAAATCAAACTTAAGTGCTGTGATGTTTCAAAGCCGTTGTCGCCGCCCCAGAAATAAACCCATTCTGGGAAGCTGCTGGAGTCCCGTGTTTATTTTTACAAAGTGCACAGCTGGCTGTCAGCCTGGGTGAAGTGAATCATACGTTTCATTTTTGCCTCACTTTTTCTCAGCTCTCCTTTTCYTTGCTACTGTAGGAGTAATTGTTTACACATTTAAAAAACAAGGATTTTGTGTTTATTTGTCTGATTCCAGTACATTATTTACTGGCCCCATATTCCAGGAGCAAATGCATTCATTTAGCTTTGTTTTAGTTTTTTTTTTTCTTTTTCTTTTTGTTTGTTTGGAAACTGGTCATGCCATGCAGCTCCAGCCAGAGTTAAATGTTAGGCCTGGATGTCGTCCACATTTAAACAAAACACATSGAGCTACAAAATAAACTCAACGTGGTCCAGTTTGCCTAAAAAACAGAGGGCATGTCATCTAAAACATGAGCTCGTGCTTTGTTGACACATGATGGTGTGTTGATGTGGTCCAGATCTTCAGTTTAGAAAAGCTCAGTCTAATTTTGAGCCACAAATTAAATTATATTKCTGAAACACCAACCAGCTGATGGATGACATCTTCTGAAAAAAGAAGCAGCCATTTGAAAACTAAAAGCTTATTTGGTTTCTTTCATTCTAATCTTTTGCAATAAAATGTTTAAAAAGTTGTTAATTTTTTTAGTTTAGTGCTTGAATACAGCTGTGATGTCATGATTTTTAAACTTCCAACCTCTCCTTTCATTAATACTGTCACTGTGACTTGTTTGCAAAATGCATCTCTGCAGGGCCAGATTCAATCAGTTTGTTGTTTTTAACAAAACTAAGGAAAGTCATGTCAATAAAATATTCAAGTTTAATTATTAAATGGGTGTTTTGAAACTCTTACACATGAATTAGTGATTTCAGTGAAACAAACTCCAGTTTTTTGCTTAATTAGATTCAGCTGTTCTGTATTTGCAAAGTTCAAGTCTTTCATTAAAAACATTATAAACAAATGATTAAAGTTAGTAGTCACAGTTATAACATGTGCTGCATTATGCTAAAGAGAGAGGGGTCCACARACTGCATTAACATGAGCATTTAACATGATTTGTTCACCTTAACTTGTGAAAAAAATTTTACCCAAAAGGTTGAACAACAGGATGGAAGATGAATGTTTTAAGAAAGGATTTGTTGTAAAATTAGTCTCTTTTCTGGATTTATTTTCTAAAAATCTTAATAAAAAGAAGTTTGCAGGACAACATCCATTATCAGATTATCAAACTACATTCCATCGTTTCTTAATTTGCACGCCATGCTGCACTGCAAAAACTGTCCTTCTTACCAAGTTTTAAAACTTATATCCAGCCAAAAATTCTTTTTGATCTTGTTTTGAGACTGACTCACCAAACAAGAACTGATTGTGTAAGAATAATAATCTTGTTTAAGATTATTTGTCTTGTTAGTCTGAAAATTTGACTCAAATTAAGTCAAAATATCTGCCAGTGGAG